TACTGATGAATTATTTTTCTTTTTTTTTCATTCCAATATTTTAAAATGTGAAAAAAATCCTCATGATTTCATGCAGTGCTGGATTAAGGTCTTCTAGAGCCTTAGCATTGAAAATATTATGGTGCCCCCCCCTTCAAAATGTGAAACAAAAAAAGAAGCAGTATCAAAAGCTACAAATGTGGGGAAATACCAGTGTTGCCTTTGTTCTAAATCAAAATACTTATATGTGCAAATCAAAATGGTCATATATTATTCAATCATTTTTATCAGCAACAATTAATTTGAATTTTTTCTGTTGCCCAAGTTTGGCTTGTGCTCTAAGCATGAGCATAGTTAACGGATAATCAGACACTGATTTTATGTTAATTCCCATCATACAATGAATGCTTGATGGTGCAAGCCTACAAAAGTTATACTTGCTGCAACCTTGAACTAATGACCATAATCCATTGCAAGTGTGAATATATATATATATATATATATATATATATATATATATATATATATATAGAGAGAGAGAGAGAGAGAGAGAGAGAGAGAGAGAGAGAGAGAGAGAGAGAGATTCAAAAAGTCTGGCAAGGAAATATTTGAAAATATCACTGTCCATTTAACTTACGACTCCTCCAAAACACCCCATTGGAGGGAGCTCAAAATTAAGCCCCTCATGCAAATCCTTATTAAAAAGAGATGCAGCAAAAATAAGTAAATTCTGTTTAATGAGGGCCTCAAGGTAGATTAGTTCCTAGCTAATTGAGTTACCCTCTTTAAATAAAGTCATAATAATAATAAAAAAAGTAAGTTCCAAGTTTTGTAAAATTCCACACAGTTGTTTAAGATGGTGATAGACAAATGAAATAGTATCACAGTATCAATATGCATACTACTACTAATACTACTACTACTACTACTACTACTACTACTACTACTACTACTACTACTAATAATAATAATAATAATAATAATAATAATAATACAATATTAATTATTGTTTCCGATTTAGTGAATTTGCAGAAATTGTTTCTGACTGATTAATTAAACCTTGAACAAATCACTCATGAATAGACACTATAAGAAATGGTCAAACTGGACAGCCTAACTCTTTTGTATAAAACCAGATTTTGTCTTTGTATGATAATATAGCCTAACTCTGTTGTATAAAACCACATTTTGGCTGCATATTATAATACAGCCTCTGTTGTATAGCTGAAATCAGCTGTGCAAAACTACATCTTGACTGTATAATACATGCACATGGACAGCATAATAACACAGCCTAGCTCTTGTGTAAAACCACATTTTGGCTGTGTATGATAATACAATCACACTGTATTGTGTAAAACCACATTTTGGCTGTGTATGATAATACAATCACACTGTATTGTGTAAAACCACATTTTGGCTGTGTATGATAATACAATCATACTGTATTGTGTGAAACCACATTTTGGCTGTGTATGATAATACATCCACACTGTATTGTGTAAAACCACATTTTGGCTGTGTATGATAATACATTATCACACTGTATCGTGTAAAACCACATTTCGTGTGTATATGATAATACAATCAAATTGTATTATGTAAAACCACATTTTGGCTGTGTATGATAATACAATCAAACTGTATTGTGTGAAACCACATTTTGTCTGTGTATGATAATACAATCATACTGTATTGTGTGAAACCACATTTTGGCTGTGTATGATAATACACTCATACTGTATTGTGTGAAACCACATTTTGGCTGTGTATGATAATACAATCACACTGTATTGTGTGAAACCACATTTTGGCTGTGTATTACAATACAATCACACTGTATTGTGTAAAACCACTTTTTTTCCATTCACACTATACATATGAACACTGAATCCATCACTGCAAGCCATAGGAAAAAATCTGCAATACTAGTGTTATCAACACATGACACAAATAAAATCTCCACTACATACTTGATAATACAAAAGTATGGTAGATTTTTGCCAGTGGCTTGTGACGATATAATTCAAACAACCAGTAAAACGTAAAATATTTATCTCGTATGCAAAATGCAAACAGTGGATACCTACACAGATGTGCCAGAGTATAGTAGATCATGGTATATACGGCTTGTAGCTTAGCATGAATAATACAAGGCCAATTACAGACATTTTTGTAAAAGGTTACTATAAGAGTATTCATTGTACTGGCAAACAAAACTATTTCAATGTTAATAATGTGCTAAGAAAGGTGCTGGGTCATTTTTAATACATTTTTACATAAAAATAAAGATTACAGCAGTTACCTGCATTAAAATTAACTTTGGCCTCAGACAAGTAAAAAGTACCCTGGGTAAAGACATCTTTGTTGGATGGTAAAACCTTCCCCTTAGGAACGCACGGTAGCTGACCTGGGTTGATCAAGTGGTAGGATTTGAACCTGCACTCTTTGGTTACTAGTCTAGGACACTACCTACTAATCCCTATGGTTCATTTCTTGTCAGGTGAAACAAGTAAATCCTTACCAAATTGAATAAATATGCTAACAGTTCACAACAGTAATCAAGACTATCAGTTAATACAACCTGCATGAAGGTAAACTGTTTTTCTATTAAACTTTCTCAGTCAAAATTCACTACAAACAGGCCAAAATCAAAGACTCAAAGATTCTATCACTGAGAGAGAGATGAAAAACAAGAAAAGATTAAACTGAGTAAGCAATTTAATGAATGATTGCACAAACAGTAATTTTTCTTTTCAGGAAAATACATTATACTTATATTGCTAATTGTTTTAAACATTCTGTGAAGCAAGCTGCTCTCATAACGTCATTATCTATATGTATATTAAAATAAATAAGCTACAATGAAGAAAATAACACAAATTTATTCTACTCACTAAAAATAGAAAGAAAAAAAAAATTGGTCATAAACACACTGAAAGATCTTTTGAAGCACACATTAATGGAGAATATACAGAAAATCATTATTTGTGCCTAACAATTTCATACATTCAAGCACAGAGGTAATGCAAGAATTACTTATTGTCATTTTAAATGCCAACAATGACTTATTTCAAAGGCAAAGTACAGCAAGTAATTGTTGTGTTGGGGTTTAATGCCATTTCTCAGCACATGATAGGCTATACATAGTATCCATTATTACTGGAGGAAGAAGCCAGAAAAACCACTGGTAAGAACCACTGACCCATGGGAAGCTATTGGCAAGCTTTTTCATGTAAACACATTGGCTAAGCACAAAATTCCAACCCAAACTGACAGAGGTGAGACAGCAGTTGTCCAAAATGATGAGCACATTAGGTTACTTGGTCAGTCAGCAAAAAGTCAAGTACAGCAAGCAAAGTATGGATTATTTCAAAGGTAATGTACAGCAAGCCAAATGAGGCTTATTTCAAAGGTTGTTGTTGTTGTTGTTGGGTTTAACGCCATTTTTCAGCACACGATAGGCTATTCATGGCGGCCAGTATTAATGGTGGAGGAAGAAACCGGGAAATCACCGGAAAGAACCACCGACCCACGAGAAGCTACTGGCAAGCTTTCTCACATATCCACATTCGCCAAATCCTAGACTCGAACACACGCAGAGGTGAGATGGCAGTGATCCGTAACGGACATCGATTTAGACCACTCGGCCACTTGGGGCCCCTATTTCAAAGGTAATGTACAGCAAGCCAAGCAAGGATTATTTCAAAGGAAAAGTACAGTAGGCCAAGTATGGCTTATTTCAAAGGTAATGTACAGCATGCCAAGTAAGGCTTATTTCAAAGGTAATGTACAGCAAGCCAAGCAAGGCTTATTTCAAAGGTAATATACAGCAAGCCAAGTATGGCTTATTTCAAAGGTAATGTACAGCAAGCCAAGAATGACTTATTACAAATGTAAATTACAGCAAGCCAAGTAAGGCTTGTTTCAAAGGTAATGTACAGTAAGCCAAGTAAGGCTTGTTTCAAAGGTAAAGTATTGCAAAGCAAGTAAGGTTTATTTGAAAGATAAGTACAGCAAGCCAAGAAATTTACTTATTTCTAATGTAAAGTACAGCAAGCCAAGCAAAGCTTATTTCAAAAGGTAAAGTACAGCAGAGCAAACTCAAGGTATTTCGTACAATATACTGTTAATACAAATTTTATTTATCCAATGGGTGCATTTATACTGTGCCATGGTGCAAATGATTTACTGCATACCATATACATTTTGCAGTGTTTTTGACCTTTGCATTAGTTACTGGTAGCTCATTTTAATGTAATCAACTGACATCAGATTAACAAAATAAAATTGCATATACCTTATTGATCACGTTTAACACCAAGCTGCAAACCAGATTTGCCAGCACATAATGTGGTAGCAGATCAAGGGTTTACAACAATGCATACCTCAAGCTTCAGAGAAGATAGACTTGATCCATGCTGTTCATTATCTGCAGTGGGGGTCAGACTGGATCCATGCTATTTGCCAAACAGACTATAATCTGCAATGAAGTACAGACTGGGTCCATGCTATTTCCCAATACAGACTCTAATCTGCATTGGGGACAGAATGGATCTATGCCATTTTCAAAATGCAGGCTCTAATCTGCAGTGGGTGACAGACTGGGTCCATGCTATTTGCAACATGCTCTGCATACAGTGGGAAAAAGACAGGGTCTATGCTATTGTATTAGGGGATGGGCTGTGTCCATGCTGTTCACAGTATAGGATGTGTAGTGCACAAGAAAATAATAAAAGGAACAAAATGCCCAATCTTTGGTTTTACTTAACATCTTATATTTATTTTTCAAAGTGAGATTTTTGAATATTTTTATTATAAGTTGGTTTGGAATTAATAGCATTTCCTGTTAATATTAGCAGTTATAATATCCTGCATTTCTTTATTTCTAGAAATTACTCTTGTTTATCACCGAGAGGATTTCCTCTAATGAACTCAACTAATTTTATTTCATGAATAAACTAACTACTTGTACATTGCTATGACAATAGTTATTTTACTTCTCTCGCATTTACCACTCCGGTGGCCTAGTGTTAGAGCATCTGCCTCAGATGAGGGAGGTCATGGGTTTGATCCCCAGTAGAATCATACCAAAGACTTACAACAATGGTACTAACAGCTGCCTCGCTTGACACTCAGCATTAAGTGATAGTGTTAGGACTGGTCAGCCTGGTGTCAGGATAATGTGACTGGATGGGACATCATGCTACATGTCTGTGGAATGATGCCCCAGTGCTAGACATCACTATAAACTGCCACAATGCAGACATCATATCGATATGACTGAAAAATTATTAAAGCTAGATTAAAAATCATAATCACATCACACCTTTTGTATTTATTTTACCTACTTCTCATAAATTGCCAGCTTTGTCAGAATTATCGCAAGATAATGCACATCTCAGCAAAATTAATATTTTTTTTAGAAATTTAATGAAAATGGAGCCAAAAAGGCATAACACCTATACTCATAATAGTGGTTTCACAGTTAGACCCCAATAGTTATTCCATGTGTAGTTTTGTACCAATGCAATCAGAACATTTTATCCCAGCTACAAGATGAGAAAGGTCACATGTATTCCCATTGGTGTTTTCATTTTGGTGCTCCAGTTGTGTCCTTCTCAACCATAGCTGTAGATGTATGAGTGGTCCACGACATTTGTCTTTACAGATCATTGACATTTGACATCTGCCTGTGTGAGTTAGCATCTTGTCTTGGCCAATATGGGTATACACGAAAGGCTGCCAGGAGCTTCCCATGAGTTGGTGGTTCTTCCCCCTCCAAATATGCTGGCCACAGTGAATAGCTCATCGTGTGCTAAAATGGCATTAAACCCAAAACACCAAAGCAAATGGCACCTCAATGACTAATTCATATCAAGATCTGAGCCATCATCTGTATTGGTTAAATAATCAGAAGCAGTCATGAAAGAAAGTAAAATACATTTAAGAAACCTAATTCTTTGTAACAAACATAAGACTAATGGCATCAGTCGGCCATACTATTATAAGGCAGTAGTAAAATTTTAAACCGATTCATTCAACCAACTTTCTGTGTGACCTAGTTGAGCAAGGCTGGTAAAAGGTGTCCATTTATTATCTGAAAACATCACATAACAAAAACCTCACAAACATCACCTAAACCATTTCTCAACGAATAACAGATTCTCAATATGGGTTTAAAGTAAATAAAACACAAAAACTGAATGACATATCGATATGGTAATGTTCAATATCAACAAATTTTGCTATTACACTGTATTAGCATTACTACTTCTACACCACTGAGTAAAATCTAGCAATTTGTGATTCATGAAAATTCTTTAATAAAGACTGACCAGGCTTAATCTTGATTTCCTCAAAGTAATACTACAGGTTGGATAAGAGATGTCAACACTTAAAACAATGTCATTTATTTAGTCTTAATTGATCATTCCAGTCAAAACTCTTTTATCAAAACAGTCATCAGGCTTGGAAAACAAAATCATTGAGCTTGTGATTTTGTTTCAACCAATCATAAATGGCATTACTTCTGAAAGGTTGCTTCTGATTGGCTGATAGCAGAAACTTAATCTCAAGCTCAGTTTAACAGGCCAGAACATATGACAGAATATGACAAATGGTCCACAGAATCTCAGTACCTTGCCTGTGATTGGCATTCAGATGATGTACATGTCTGCTCATACAGGTAAGAAATGTTGAACCGAAATTTTACTTTTATACACCAACAAATGTCAAAAAATTATGACTTTCAAGAATGTACACACATTATCTCAATATTGTTAAAGGTTCAATGGTCATACTTTAATATTTTGTTGTTCATCAGATTTGCATTACATGATTAAAAGTAGTTATACTCGCACAAAAAGACTTTCAACAATTATCAAGTGTAAAAAAAAATAATTCAGTTACTCAAAACTCAAAATATTAGTATACAATGCTGTTACTTCCCCATAGCTATGATTTCCCACCTACTGATGCCAACTGGAAATGATGTACATTTATTCCCACAAGATAAAATACATGCTTCTTGTCAAAAAATAAAACACTAAAAACTATGGATAGGAAACATTTAGATGAAACTATTGAATAGATTGTGTCGCTTTCAAAACTGTTCCACTGTTTCAATTTGTTTTCAAAATTCCCTTTAATATAGGTAAAAAGTACAACTTTGTAAAAAAAAAAAAGAAGCAGCACACTTAAAAGAATCCAAGGGAACAAAAGTTAACTTCATCACGTCAATCTTAAAAAAATTGGCATACTTAAAAGAATCCAGTCTGTTTCCAGGGTGTGTTTGCTTTGTAATAAAATAACTATGTATTTCATATCCTATTGGTAAGTTTAAGCAATGAGTTTATTGCTTGTTGCCAGTTGTGTTCATTCATCACCCAGGCTTCTATTTGTTTGCCATATGTACCGGTAATCACAATTGATACGGTCATTGATATTTGTAGGGTAACTAGTATACACAGCAATAACTTGCTTTAATAATACTTTTATAACCCATGCAAGCAAAAAGATTATCATTTACCCTAACAGTGAATGTATTTTCAAAATAATGATTTTTATTTGGTAGATAATGTCCTATAGTTAACCTTCATACAATCTCGGTCATTTTGCACCATATAACATGTTATGCATGAATGGCAGGTGCCTTCAAGCAATCATGATATTTCCATTTCAGCTGTTAATGTGTTATCTGACATACAGTGAGGATACATGGCATCTGCTACATATACTGCATTTCTGGATATATTTATTTTCTTTAATAAATTTTGCATGATGAAATAGAAAGAATAAATGATAAAAATGCAAAACTTTCATTTATTTTCAGATAAGTGTTTTGTTTTGTATGTGCAATGGGAAAGTGGGCACAAATTCAACACAAAATTTTGTTCCTTAAATCTTGGGAAATAGACCTTAGGGAACCAAACGTTTCACAATAAGTTCTGAAACAGGAAAAAAAATCATTTTATCGTGCCCCAATATATGTGGTAAATAAGGTGTGTGTGTGTGTACACATAAACATATGAATGATTCTACAGGCTTGTATAAATGATAAATGATAAACATCCTCATATTTCTCATTTCTTGTTTAAATCCGTTTGGTTATAATAATGCTAAATTAAGAGTGTGATCAAAGTCTACTCTCTGCACTTTGAAAAGTAATATGATTTTTTTTAACATCAACATTTTACATCTGCAGTAACATTAATGTATTGTAATCCTTTGATATATTTTACTTATGCTCTTTCTCATATGCACCATAGAGCTTTCTACATGATGTAGTATTTTCCCATCCCTCAGCCTATTCAATTACACAGCTTTCTACATGATGTAGTATTTTCCCATCCCTCAGCCTATTCAATTACACAGCTTTCTACATGATGTAGTATTTTCCCATCCCTCAGCCTATTCAATTACACAGCTTTCTACATGATGTAGTATTTTCCCATCCCTCAGCCTATTCAATTACACAGCTTTCTACATGATGTAGTATTTTCCCATCCCTCAGCCTATTCAATTACACAGCTTTCTACATGATGTAGTATTTTCCCATCCCTCAGCCTATTAAATTACACAGCTTTCTACATGATGTAGTATTTTCCCATCCCTCAGCCTATTAAATTACACAGCTTTCTACATGATGTAGTATTTTCCCATCCCTCAGCCTATTCAATTACACAGCTTTCTACATGATGTAGTATTTCCCATCCCTCAGCCTATTCAATTACACAGCTTCAATCCACTTGTTGGGGTGGGTTGGGTAAACAGGGTCTTTCAGGAAAAGAAAGAACTCTTTAGTCCAATCGTCACTCCTTTGGTTACATCCATATGCAACAGACTGTGCCATATTTGCTTTACAAAAGCATGATCATAAGATATATCACATATATATTTACATGGGGAAATTAAACACTTGAATGGCTAGATTGAATAGAAGGGATGAATGTACATTATATCCAGTTTTGGCACAGGGAAGCTACCGATTGTTTACAGAGATCGACAAATAAATTTTTCATTTAAAAAGGCAGATTCTGAAGTTTAAATGTTTTTATGGTGTGTATACCTAACAAATGCACTTTTATATGGCTATAATAATATCACAAATTTGTATCTTCCTATCATTATGAATTGTCAACACATTTTAATAACACAAAAACAATATCCTGCAAACAAAAAGGTTTGGTCTGACTTTGGTGTTTTAGGGCATAGCAACAAAAGTGGGTTATTATGACAAGGTCATAGTGGAAAAGTGTCATGCCTAGGAAACACTATGGTAACTGACCCAGATCTATCAAACTTTTTGGTCACATGTCCAGCATGCTGAACATTCAGACAGCAAGGCTCCTGCCTCATTTGTCCCTTTTTCTAATGTGCAGGGGAAAGCTTTGTCCATTCTATAATCCTAAATCTGCTCAAACAACTTACTGATCAACCTTTAATATTAATTTTGAAATGATAACTGCACACATTTTCTCTGTGCCAACTTGTATTAGAATGCAACCTCTGTTAACCAGTCAGATTTTATTAAAAATATTATGGCAGTTTATGAGTAATAATTTCTGAGAGAGGTTTTCTACATAAAAGTTAATGGAGGAATGGTGATTGATTTGCTCATGTTAATACACAGGCTTGCATGGGCATGCACACATGCATTCATACAAATACCAATAACATGATGACCTAAATTTTAAAGCAAAGACTGCATCCACATAACTGTAATGAAATAACACCCATTTGTAATAAAATATGGCAATAAGACTTAAAATATTAATCAAACAGAAAGATTTTCAACTGCAAGACTTTATTAACTTCCAAAGATGGCCATAACACACACAAATTTATTGGCGATCCACTTACAACAAGTACATCTTCAAATGATGACCAAGCTATGCAACAAAACTGTAGGACTGACTAGTTAGTTCAAAAGGTTATGAAATGCACTGCATTCAGCTTCAAGATAACAAAGTCAATAACTCTAACATAAATTATGGCAGCAAACTGATTTGCTGAAATGTTGTTGTTGTTGTGGGGCTTAACGCCATTTTCAGCACACAATAGGCTATACATGACGGCCGGTATTA